TTGAAGTGGAGCTTGAAGTGGGGCTTCAAGAGAGAAGCGAAAGAAGGTAGAGAAAATAAGCAGCAAAGTGGGTAGGAGATTGGGGGGTTTAAGGAGAATTGAGTTCATTGTTTTGTTCTATCTTGCAGAAAAAATTATGCAAGAGATTGATGAAACTTGTGGAGGTTTTCCAAAGAGAGCGAGTAACTCTCCGTTTCAATACCGTTCTTCTTCTGGACATTGTGGATTGACTCCAGTCTTGGCTTCATACAATTCTGCCGTGGTTTAAACGTTTCTCCGATGGAGAATTGGAGATGTATTTTGGCATTTGGACAAGCACTAGCAGTCTAGCATTATTGGCTAAATTTGAAAATTTTTTGGGTGCATTAATTATTGGTTTGTTATCATTTTGGTCTAGACAATTTACTATTCTTCTTAACTGGTCCAAAATGAAAGAGCCATTCATCCAAGTTTCGTTAGTTCTTCTTAAGAAATTCCATGTCAGTTCATACCCACCAAGCAAACACCACGTGAACCCCATCCCTAAAAAATTAAATAAATTTCAATGATGATCAAAAGACTGATATTATAAATTGTTAAGGAGTAGAGAGTTAAGGAAGCAAAATGTTTGAGATTGATTACTAAATAAAATGTAAATTTCTTGGGTCTCCTCGTGTTCTGTGATCAATGACATAAAATTCTGTTAAGAAAACTTATAGAGCATTTTAGACATTTTTTAAAGTTTTCAAACAGAGAAAATAAGCTTTTTAAATCAAAGTGATAACATGATAATAGTTAACTAACCATATGTTAAATTAAGCCTAACTGCATATTATATGCACTCTTTATTTTATTTAATTGAAGTTCCCAGACACTGTTCAACTTGCAGATAAGGAAAAGTGAGGTGGTGAAAGTAGAAACGGTATATATATATATATTTCACAAAAAAATTAGTTTACCGGCTGTGTAAATAAGGAAAAATCTAATGAAAGCATATGTGAAACCCACAAAAACCAGGAAAAAAAAAAAGCCACCGGCGGCCTCATATGTTGTTTATTGATCTCCTGTGGTGTCTTTTATAAAGCCCTAGGCAAATTTTCATAGGATGTGGTATTAATTAACCTTAATTTATCCTCAACATGAAGATTCAGCAGAAACTTCATATAAGATACACAGGCACTTCAGTTGTTACTCCTATAATACACTGGTCGTGTTCGGACACACATCAGCAGAAGAGTTCATTGATGCACTGACTGAAGATAAGTAGAGGAGGAGCAAGAGTAAAGTTTGGGAGAGCTAAGCATAGATGCTATATGACTACTGAATGTCGTTCACACCTTACCTAGTACCAAGAACAATTATGTCATCTACAGCCTTGTCCTTCCTATTAAAGGATATTCAGGATGTGACTTGTTGGCTTTTTTGGTATGTCCTCGTCGTCTCCTCTCCCTTGTATACGACAACCAGAAGATCAAAGAAAACATTACAGCCGCTGAAACAGTTACTGTCCCACTGTAGACCCATGCACTGTATTTCCCCAGATTCGGACAGTAGTTCTGAGAGATGTGCCCGAAGGTTTGCCGAACGTAGGTGCAGTCTGTTAGAGAAGAAAGGAAGGGGCCATAGTTATACAATCCATAACTCACATTCACTGCTGCAGTAAGTTGGCTGTATATTGAAGGGGTCAAGCGTCCCTGTGTAGTGCAAATGCCATTCGCTGAAACTTCGCATACATA